GCACACGCACACGCACACGCGCCACGCCCACGCACACGCACACGCACACGCACACGCACCACGCACACGCACACGCACACGCACACGCGCACGCGCACGCGCACGCGCACGCGCACGCGCACGCGCACGCACACGGCACACGGCACACGGCACACGCACACGCACACGCACACGCACACGCACACGCACACGCACACGCACACGCACACGCACACGCACACGCACACACATACACACACATACACACACACACCTACGCACATCTAGACACATCTTCACACCGGCACACCTACACACGTACACCTGCACGTACACCTACACCTACAACTACACGTACATTTACGCCTTCGTTTTCGCTTGCACGTACACCTACGCCTACGCCTGCGCCTACGCCTTCGTCATTTATCACCGACACCTGCGCCTACACCTACACATACACCTACACCTACACCTGCACCTGCACCTGCACCTGCACCCGCACCTGCACCTGCACCTGCACCTGCACCTGCACCTACACTCACACCCACACCGACACCTACACCTACACCTACACCTACACCCACAACTACATCTACTCCTACTCCTACACCTACACCTACACGTACACGTACACCTACGCCTACCTCTACAGTTACACCTACACCTACACCTACAACTACACCTACACCTAAACCTACACGTACACACCTACACACACACTTACGCATACCCGCCTACACCCACGCGCGCACGCACACGCACACGCGCACGCACATGCGCACGCACACACCCACACACACGCACACATAAACACGCACAAAACAACACACCACAACACAACACAACACAGCACAGCACAGCACAGCACAACACAGCACATCACAGGACAGCACAGCACAGCACAACACAACACACACACACACTCACAGTCTCACTCATATTCGCACTCGCACTCACTCTCACACAACACACACGACACACAACACACGCAACGCACAACGCACACACAACACACAACACATACATTCACACATATAATCATACACGCATACACACATACACACATGCACACATATACGCGTACACACATATACACATGCACACATACACGCCACACAAAACTATGCACATACATACACATCCCTGGATTCCCCATATTCTTATATTTTCTGGATTCTCGTCTCCCCCCACCGCTTCCCATATTTTCCCACATTTTCCAGGGGATCGATGATTCATTGTGTCTGCGTGTTTTTTTCCCCCTGAAAGGTGGGAGACCACGTTGTCATCGTGGATCCTTCTGGCGACAGTTCCTTGAACGAGGAAGGTGTAGTCGAGAGTGTCTCACCGGGCAAGCTGACGCTCGTAAATCCTCTGTCGAAAGGCCTCGTAGATGGTAGCATCGTCATCGTGCAGGAGGAAGGAGCTGCTCCCGGGGCAGGCTCCGACGCGAACGATCCCACGGATGCTCCCACGAGCGCTCCCACGAGCGCTCCCACGGACTTCGGCTTTGACTGCGACGCAGGCTACTCCAACTGGGCTGCAGGGTGGTCTGAGAAAAAGAAGAAGGCCTGTTGCAATTTGGAGAACAAGGGCTGCAGCTTCGACTGCGTGGCGGGGCAGGACATGTGGAAGAGTGGATGGTCTGAAGACAAGAAGAAGTTCTGCTGCCAATCCGAGTCGGTGGGATGCGACGAATCGCCTACAGACATTGACGTCGACTGTGACGCGGGCTACGATCAGTGGGAGGCTGGGTGGTCTGAGGAAAAGAAGAAGGCCTGTTGCAATTTGGAGAACAAGGGCTGCAACTTCGACTGCGCGGCGGGGCAGGACATGTGGAAGACTGGATGGTCTGAAGACAAGAAGAAGTTCTGCTGCCAATCCGGGTCGGTGGGATGCGACGAATCGCTCACAGACATTGACGTCGACTGTGACGCGGGCTACGATCTGTGGGAGGCTGGGTGGTCTGAGCAAAAGAAGAAGCTCTGCTGCGACACGGTGGGCAAGGGCTGCACCTTCGATTGCGAGGCGGGTTACTCCATGTGGGCCGCTGGGTGGTCTGACGGCAAGAAGCAGTATTGTTGCAAGACCGAACACAAGGGCTGCAAGGAGCCACGTGGCGATGGGTCGGGGGCCATGGTGATGACGCTTAGCCTTGTGTTTGGGATTCTCTTTTGCTGTATCGCCCTCCTGATAGCGTGCCTCGGCTTCGGTCTCTTCAACTACCTTCGGGACAAGTTCAATTCCTTATCGCAGCGGACGCGGGGTCACCCAAACATTCTAGCGAACTAGTGGTGGGTCGCCCCCAAATGGGCGACGCGTGCGGGCAGAACTCTGATCGTATGTGCTCCGTGGCGGGCGCTTCCTGGCCTCACCGCTCACCGCTCGGGGAAACATTCGTGTACCATGGGATGCTTGTGCTCTAGGTTCGGTGCGGACGTGTGCCTCCGAGGAGGGCGCACAGCGCGATACGGTAGAGGGAAACAATTACTGAACACTCCCCCCCCAAACTCAAGGTTGGCACGTGCGGGGGAGACTGCGGTCGAAGCGCATCTCATCAGACCCACCACCAACTTTGAACATTTGGGGGGAGGGGGGGGCGTTGACGGATGAATGTGGCATGTGTTCGTTAATTTGTTCCGAGGTTTGTATGTCCCTCTGCGCCTGCGTCCCAAGAGGACGGTTGATCCGAAGCAGGGCCAGCACAAAGCCGTCTCGGAGTGGATCTTCAAGCCGTCGGACGGCAACGCCATCGTCACCCTCGAGGGGCCGAGCGTCGACTCCCCAGACACCGGCAACAGGCTGGAGCCGCGCGAGGTCTTCCAGGTGAGCGAGGAGAGAGCACCCGAAGTGGAGGACAAGTTCGAGGACGTCGAAGGAGTCGAAGGGAGCAAGCGCTGCATGCCCACAAGCTGTCGGGGGGCCCGCGCGGATGGCTCGGATCGCCGCTGGAGTCCCCCCTGGCGGCGTCTCCCCCGCCGCCCAGGCCCAGGGTACGGTAGGTTTGCGTCGTGTCGACCAGCGGCGACCCCAGCGCGGGCGTTCAAGGTTGAACGCCGCCGGCGACCCAGAATCGATCGATGTTGAACGATCGGACGTTGCGGCAGCGGCCGATCGTTCAAGGTTGAACGATCCAGCGCGGTGTCAGAAACCAACGCCGGGGTCGACACGACGCGAACCTGCCGTATCCGCGCGGAGCTCCGACCCTTGATGTTTGTGCAGTTCTGGTCGCCTCCTGAGGAGGAATGACGATGGAGGAGGTCGATGACGTCAACCGCCACTTCCTGAAGCTCGCGGACGGCAGAGGGTGGGTGTTGGACCGCGAGGCTGGCCACGAGATGTGCTACAGGCTCGGCGAGCCAGTGGACGAGCGCTGGATCTACGACCCGGAGAACGGGAAGCCCATGGGCATCCGCGAGGAGCCCGCCCTCGATGGGGAGCAGACGGGCGAGGTCATACGCCCGGGCGACAGGTTCGAAGTGTCCGAGATCTTGTTGGCCGACGGTGAGGTTCAGGAGCGGAAAAAGGACGTACGTGTAGATGAATCCACGCTGGTTTCGAGAGTTCACATTGCGCAAATGTTCGTATAACGCGGCCGGTCTCACGGATCGAGGGGCCGTGTTCATGTACATAGCTGGGCGCGTACGTCCTTTGTGGGCTCCCTAGAGGTGCTTGCTCTGAGGCTCATGGATGACCGGGGCTGGGTGTTCGACGAGATCTCCGACGGGTCCATCGTGTGCCGGAGGCCTCGGGGCGCTGCGCAGAGCGGGGCGGAGAGCGAGGGGGGCCGCGGCTCTCTGAGAACGGGGCCGGCACCCCTCAGAGCCGTGCGCCCCCCACGCCAGGAGGAGGAGGAGGAGGAGGAGGAGGAGGAGGAGGAGGAGGAGGAGCGCCTAGAAGGGAGGGCCCAGTGGGGGGAAGAGGCCCCTCCGGATCGGAGGGCGCCGGCTCGCCGGTCCTTGTCAGAGGGGCGATCTTGGGCCCGGGAGGGGCCTCCCTGGCCCAGCCTGGAGGACGTGTGCACCGATCTTGGCATCGCTCGGACCTGTGCATTTTTTTTCGGCGAGGACCATCGAGGAGCATCCTTGATCATTTGGCTAAAAAACCACGCACGAAACCAAAAAAAACACACGGAATGGACGTCCGAGCGATGGCGAGCGATCCCGTGCCTGGGTGTGGGCCTGGCCTGGTCAGGCGATCGCAAACATGGATCAAGGGGGCGTGGATTAGCGACGGGTCGCGTTTCCATGGGGAATCGCGGATTTCCGCCGCCGAGCGAGGCGGCACCGGCCGCATTTGGGCGAGGGCACCTCCCGCAATCCGCGGATTTGGCGACCGCGCGCCTAGTCCATGGATCGCTTAATCCATGTTTGCGCGTCCCCATCTGGTGCAGGGGGTGGTGGGCGCCCCCCGATCAGCCTGCCGCGCGCGGCCGAAGGCTGCTGGACGAGACCTGGGTGTACGAGCCAGAGAACGGGGCCCCCATCGGGATCCGCAGTGGGCCCGACGTTTACGGGGAGAAGACGGGCCACAAGCTGCACGCAGAGGAGACCTTCCAGGTGGAGGAGATAGAGGCGGGCCGGTCAGAGCTGGGGGAGCTGCGGCTCTTACCCCCATGGGGGCCCATCGGTGTCGACACTCGTCGGTGCCACGGGTTCCCCCAGGGGTGTCAGGATCACACCCTCCCCGGCCGTGGCTGGCCAGAGAGGTCGGCGATGATGGCACCCTCTTCCTGAAGTTGGAGGACGGGCGCGGCTGGCTGTTTGACAAGCATCCCGAGCTTGGAAACATGTGCCGTAGAGTGACTTAGGGCGGGGGTGCCGAGGCGTGCCCCCTGGGTGTCCAGTGCCCGAGACACGCTTGAATCGAGATGTTGCTGTCCCTCTCCTCTCGTCCGCTCCCCCTTTCCCTCTTTCGTTCCCCCCCGATCTTCCTCACCGGTGCCGTGGCCACTCGGGCCCTGCGTCCGAGCCCCCTTGGCGGATCCTGGCAGCGAGGGCTCAAGGAGTTGCCGCACGGTGTGAGTGGCATGAGCACTTTCACGCTGTTCTTCCGCCGCCCTCTCGATCTCGAGCCAAGCGTAGAGAGCATCCAGTCATCGCGGTCACGACCTCCTTCACAGTCTTGGCGGGTCCTTCGAGCCAGGCGGAGACTTATGCCATGTTCACCGCCTGGGGACCGAGGTCCTGGTGCCTCCGCGGGCGGTGGATATATGTGTATATTTTGGCCCCAGGGGCCCCGAGTATAGAGTCAAAACCCATGCCAAGAAACACCCTGCTCGCCGCGATGGTTCTTGATTTTCGCTGGCTTTGCGACAGAAAGCGTGACGTTCCCTCACCAAAATCAGTGGACGTCGTGGGGCCTCAGGGTTGGGTTTCTTGTGCAGGGTTTCTTGTTGTCGAGCTCTTACTGTATCCATATCAACCGCCTGTGTGCAGGTCCGCGAAGATCGATCCCCCAGGCGGTGGTCACGGATACGTCCCCGCCTCGGATCTTGGGCCGTGCCTGCTCCCGCGGGTCCATGCTGGATCCTCGTCCGGGGGAAGAGCTGCCGCCCAACGCCGTCCTGCCCTCCCCCACAGGGCCGCGGTCTTGGGACCTGCAGGAGGAGGAGTGTTGCGGGAGTGCTGCGGGCCAAAACGGATCACGACGCCCTACGGTTTCGTGCCGCGGGTCATCCTGGCCGCACCGGGCCGTCCCCGAGCCGAGCCAGAATGCCGTGCCCTCTGAGGGCTTGCCTTGCCTCAAAGGGGCTTTCAACTTCTCGCACGAGCTTATCTCTGCACTGTCGCTGAGAGTAGCCCATCCGAGCCCAGCGGCAACATACCCTGCTGCCACTGCCGATATTGGGCTCCAGCTTCGCCCCCCGCGTCTCACAAGAGGCCTGCCACTGAGCTCCCGACGATACTGGGCTCCAGCTTCACCTCTCGCTTCTCACAGGAGGCCTGCCACTGAGCTCCCGATAGGCTGCAACCCTGCCTTGCACGGCTGCTCCCCTGCCATTCCGCGCACGAGCTGGTCCCAGCGATGTAGTTGGTGAAATGCCCGTCCGACCGCTGCGGCAACAGGATCTGCTGCCATTGCCTGGGTTTGCGCACGCCCCGATTCCTGCACTGTAGCTCGGGCTCCTTCTTCGCCTCCCACTTCTCGCAGTAAGTTGCGTCGCTTGAGTCTTTGCCTCCCTTCTCACACGATCTGCTCCCAGCGGTTCGCCCCGATCCCCGCGCTTTAGCTGATAATGTCGGGCTCGGACTTCGACTCCCACCTTTCACAAAGTGGTACTTCACGCAATGGTGTGGGAACCGGAGGAGGAGGAGGAGGAGGAGGAGGAGGAGGAGGAGGAAAGGAAGGAGGAGGAGGAGGAGTGTTGCGAGAGTGTTGCGGGCAAAAACGGATCACGATGCCCGACGGTTTCGTGCCGTGGGAGCGGGGTCGCTTCGGGCCGTCCCCGAGCCACACCCCTTTCCTCGCGCGCCTTGGCAGCCCAGCTGCCACTGACTGCGCTCTGTCCTCGCACGAGTTGATTCCAGCACTGTAGCTAAAAGTGGCTCGCTCGAGACTAATCTCGGGCTCCAGCTTTGCCCCCCGCTTATCGCAAGAGCCTTGTCCAGAGCTCTCGACGAACTTGGGCTCTAGCTTCCCCCTCGCTTCTCGCAAGAGGCTGGCTACAGAGTTCCCTCCTGCCATTTCGCGCCGAAGCCATCGAGGTGCATTGATCCACTGCCCCAATTGTCTGCCTCAGCACTTCTCGCACGCGCAGTGCCCAGCAGGTCAGCTAGTTGCCATCGGGCTCAATCTTCACCTCCCACTTCTCGCAACTGCGCGCCCCCTTTCTCGCACGGACTGCTCCAGGCGTTGTAGCTGATCGTGGTACACCCGCACGTTTTGCTCGCCTTTCCTTCGCTCCCAGCGCTGTAGCTGGTCACGTCGGGCTCTGCCTTCGCCTCCCACTTCTCGCAGTTTCTCGCAGCGCCAGCCTCCACTGCCACTGCGTGCCCCACTGCCTGCCTTCGCGCACGAGCTGATCTCAGAACTGTACCTGAGGACATCCGCGCCTGCACTTCCGCTTTCTCCCAGTGCCAGTTGCTGCCACAGCATGCCCTTCTCGCAATGCCAGCGCCTGCTACCACTGCCTGCCTTCGTGCACGAGCTGATCCCAGAATTGTAACTGACGACGTTTGCCCCTGTTCTGTCGCATGCTGCCGCCCTTCTCGCACAAACCGCTCCCAGCGTTGTAGCTGATCTGAGCTGGCTCCTGCTCTTCGCCTCTCGCATGTCAGCAGCGTGCTGCCACTGTGTGCCCTTCTCGCATTGCCAGCGCCTGCTGCCACTGCCTGTCTTCGCGCACGAGCTGATCCCAGAAATGAGGCTGAGTGGACCTGCTCCTGTGCTGCCGCCTGCTGCCGCCTCGGGGTGCACCGGTCCACTGCCCCGAGTTGTGTACTGCTCGCTTGTCCCGCACGCGCCGATTTCAACACTAGCTGAGGACGTCGGTCTCCAGCTCTGCCTCCTCTCGGAAACTTGCCAAAGTCTGCTTCCACTGCCCGCCCTTCTCGCACGCGCTGCTTGCGGCGCTGTAGTTGAGGGCGCGCTGTTTGCTCTTCTAGCACACGCTGATGGCAACCGTGTAGCTGAGCGCGTTTGACTCCAGCTTTGCTTCCGTGTCCCGGAGCCCCGCCAGGGCCTGCTGCCATTGCCCGCTTTTCTCACATGCGCTGCTTGCCGCGCTGTCGGTGAAGACGTCGGGCTCTGCTTCGTTGTCGCACGTGCTGGTCCCATCGCTGTAGCTGATGTCCAACTCGCTCGACCTGACTCCAGCCTCGTTATCACCGCTGAGGCCGATCCCAGCTTTTGGGGGGCCACATGCGAACCCTACCCCCACCCCCTTTCCCAAGCGAAGTGAACCCCACCCTCACCCTCAGAAAATGTGGGGGGTAAAGGTAGGGTTCGCATGCGGCCCCCCAGCTTTGCAGCTGACCTGTGTCTCTGCAACAGCGCCGCTGCGGCTGGCGCTATTGCTCGCCAGGGGGTGGAGGAAAGGAAGGAGGCAGTGGAAGGTGAGGGGGCGAGGGAGGCGGACTCCGCACCTGGCACGGCGCATGCCCGTCACCGCACTGTAGCTGATGACGTTGGGCACCCGCCTCTCCTGATGCCGACCTCTTGACGTCGACAGGGTGGCTCGCAACCGCAGCGCCACTTCGAAGTTGGCGGTTGCACCATCCGCGCGCGCCCCCGCAGGCCAGGGTGGCTCGGACGCGAAATGGCTAGGAGGAGGAGGAAAAGGGGGAGGAGGAGGAGGAGGAGGAGGATGAGGCCAGGAGCTACGGGTCAGGAGGTGAACGGACGTTCGCGTACATGAATTCACGTCGGTTTCGAGAGTACGCATTGCGCGAGCCTCAGCATCACGCGGCCGGGCTCGCGGACTGCGTGGCCGTGTTCATCTACGTGGTTGGCGCGTATTTTGTGGGCTCCCTAACGTGGGGCTGCAGGGAGGCCGGGCAAAGTGGCCGGGCCCTTCCACTCCTTCCAGCCCTGGCCAGTCGCGCACGGTTTATCGGCATGACCGACTCCTGCTGGGATTCCGTCGACAACTCGAGACTCTCAATCGTCCGGACAAATAGTCACCACCCACCAAACCACCCCAACTCAACCCGAAGGCTCAGATTCACCCTCGATTTCTAGTAGGGGGGGGTCGGGAAACATCGACAAAAACACATATGGAGCCCATACCCCCCCCAACCCGGAATTCGGGTCTTCGGGTTGGGTTGGGGTGGTCTGGTAGGTAGTCAAATAGGTCTTTGCTGCTGCTCGCCCGGGGGATCCGGGGCTTTTCGGGCGCACCCCAGACCGGACGGAGCAACGAGCTTTCTCGTTCACGGGGGCCGGGCGGGCACGTCCGCACGGCACGGCGCGCCGGGCGGTGCCGCGCTGCCTTCCCCGGGCAGTGCTTTACACCCTGCGAAGTGCTTGAGAGATCATGGGCTAAGAAATTCATAGCCTCAGAATTGAATTTAGGCCCAGAACTTCTATCAAAATCTTAGGAAATGAAAAAATCTAAACATTTTAAGAATCATCGAGACTCTGGCCGAAAACTTGAGTTTTCTTGAGCATCGCCTAAGGTTCGGGGGAGCGTAAGACCCGGGTTTGCCAGGACTCGGGTTCGCCATCGTTTTTGACGACCGCGCCTCGGATTTTGATGAGGAGGAGTTTCGTGGGCTGTCTGCAGCGGGAGGCCTCGTCAAAATGCAGGCTCGGCCTCGTCATTTTTTTGACGACCTCGTCGGGGATTTCCGAGTCCCCTGTACCCAGGTCGTACGTCTCCCTGAAAGGTGTACGCTCAGGGGTTCCTTCCTTGGGTTCTGCCCCCTGCCGCGCCGAGGCCTCGCCCGCGGGCCGCCCGCGGGCGCCCTCTGCGGGCGGCCCGCGGGGCGCCCCGCGGCCTGTCCTCCGCCTCCTCCTCCTCCTCCTCCTCCTCCTCCTCCTTCTCCCCCTCCCCCTCCTCCTCCTCCTCCTCCTCCTCCTCCTCCTCCTCCTCCTCCCTCCTCCTCCTCCTCCTCCTCCTCCCCCTCCTCCTCCTCCTCCCATTCCGCCTCCTCCCCCTCCTCCTCCTCCCCTCCTCCTCCCCATCCTTCCTCCCCCTCCTCCTCCTCCCCCTCCTCCCCCTCCTCCTCCTCCTCCTCCTCCTCCTCCTCCTCCTCCTCCTCCTCCTCCTCCTCCTCCTCCTCCTCCACTCCCCTCCCCATCCTTCCTCCCCCTCTCTTCGCCCTGTGGCCCGCCCGGGGGCCCCCGAAAAGGACACCAACACCAAGA